TAGGTTTCAAAATTCCAACAGGTTTTGGAATGACACTTTATAAGCCCATGTCTGATTTTCCTACCATAGCTCTTCCAGTTTCTCCCTTCTTGTCAATTAATTCCTATTCAACAATATGTTGATGGCTTAGAAATCATCTAATCAACTATATATAAATCAAGAATTCATAGCCTGACCTGAAAATGTTAAGAATATATACTTGGAAACATAGATTTGGTAATATCTCTTTTGACTCCCGAGGATTTTTGGTTCTCAGTTCCCAAATATAAACAGTTTCTTCATAGCAGTGTTCTAAATAAATGTATTATCACTGAATTTTTATTTTAAAAATATTTTCAACACCATAATACCAAATCATTTAAAAATAAAGAAACTTCTGAATGTAATTACATTGTCTTAGATGTTGTGACCCTAAAAATATTCAATTAAAGATCCATGGAAATAATTACATTTTTTCCACTTTTACTTAGCAAACTATATGATATTTTACTAAATGTTTTAACTTTCTACCTCAAAGTCTAAGAGATAATTTCTTAGATCATTTTTTAATCAATCTGACATCATATAAGACTTTACACACCAAGGAAATCATTTCTTTTTCTCTTTAGGGAAGACAGGATAAAGAAATGTTTATAAATAACACTGATAGGTGTGACTCCTGAAAAACACATCAATAGTTTTCAGTTCAAGAGTAAAAGTCTATAAGCCATGAGGCTACGTGTATTTCCACACGAATAGTTTTTAGTTCAAGGGTAAAAAGTTTATAAGCCATGAGGCTACGTGTATTTCTTGCCTTCTAATTTAAGCTATGAGAAAAATGCAGGTTTTCTTAGCCACTCTTCGCACATAATACCTCTGGCATTATTTTACCTAAGTCAAATGAGACAGTTATCTGAACACCAAATATAAAAGTTTTATTTTAGTAAATTTATAAACAGCATACTACAGTCCTTTAACCCCATTGAGGTTAATGAAAGAGAAACTCTATGATGAATATGGGAAAGCAAGAATATTCTTATTTCTATTTCTGACCTAACCAGGAAAGTAAGGAAAGAAAAAGAAGCCTCTCCAGAGTTTACCTCTTGGAGCACCACTGATGCTAAGGCATAGAGAAAAGACACATTGCTGCATCTTCTCTAGGTCCCAAGTCATCTTTCCAGGCAGTCAACCATTTCTCTGAAATACTTTCCTCTGTAACCACTACCCTACAGACTTTCTTATCCTCTCTGTCCTCTACTTAACTAAATTCCTGAGGAGTCCCATGAGGTAGGGTTACCTAAGCATATCACTAGCCTGAATTTTTCTCAAAATATATGCAAGAGAATAACTTGCAGTAATTGCTGAGAAACATGTAAATGAACCATGATACTGTGCATTGATTGGGTATAATCAAAAACCATGATAACAGAAGATAACAGAAAATAAATTATGGAAATATTTTAACCACATTAACTGGCCTATTTTAAAAAGGTTAAAGATGAAAGTAAAACCATAAAAGAAAAACAACTGGGTAAAATAAACATTGAAAATATTTGCTCCTGTTATTATTAATCTTAAAAATGAAAAATTTAAACTGGTAGAAGTTTTAACCTAAAAATGCAAAGATTCATTTTTAATACCAACGAATAAAGGCAAGATGTAAAGTTCAATGAGAAAGACATTCTCTCACTTTGCTTGTGGAATTTAAACAGGCAATCTATTCTGAAAGCTAATTTGGCATTATGTTACCAAGAGTCTAAAATGATCTTACTCCTTGATCCAATAATTCTATTCATAGGATTCTGTACAAACAAATAATAAAATGTGAACAAATAGAATCCTTATTTCAGAATGAATGTAATGAAGTGATAAAATGCATTACTCTACTTGCTTGGTTCAGTTTTGCTAAAACATAAATGAAGAAAAAAAAAATAGCCACCTTGGCCTGCCACATATCAGGCCATACCAACCCCCATTAACCAGTCTTGTCCCTTACATCTTTCTTCTGACTCAACCAAGACAAATATGGCATGATCGTATATGAAAGGAAAAAAGCACATTGATATATTTAAGGGAGTTTTCAAATGACTTGAAACAAAAAGGGTTTTCTGAAGATAGAAAAGAAAACAATACTCCAGATTAAGTATGAAATGCTATTTCCCAAATAATTTATTTTATCAAAAAACCCAAATACCTCTCTAAATTATTTCATTAGGAAATAAGAATTGTGCCATAACAACCCAGAAGTCATCAAGCTAGGTAAAAATGTGTCACATGTATCAATTTTCAGTAAAATTTCTTAAATTTTCTGAGCAGGTGATGGATGTTAAACATATGTCAAATGCCCTGTGCCACTTTAGAAAAAAAATAAGTTTAAAAGCTATGCTAAACTGAAACCAAGTATCTTTGTAAAAGTATTAAAATTATCAAAACACGAAATCACAGGCAATAAATAAGATTTGTCTGTCGCCATTCACACAAAAGCAACCTGAGTTCTAATCCACAAGAAGAATGCTCAAGGACACTCTAACCAGAGCAATTACACAAGAAAAAGAAATAAAAGGCATACAATTTGGAAAAAAATAAAATTATCTCTGTTGGCAGAAAATATGATCTTCTATGTAGTAAGTCCTAAAGGTTCCACAGAAAAAACGGTTAGTACTAACAAATGAACTCAGGAAAGTAGCAGGATATGAACTCAACATGTAAAAATCAGTTGTATTTCTTTTTTTCTTTTTTTTTTTGTCCTTTTTGAGACCGCCGCACCGCGCTCAGCCAGTGAGCGCACCGGCTATCCCTATATAGGATCTAAACCCGCGACGGGAGCGCTGCTGTGCTCCCAGCACCGCACTCTCCCAAGTGCGCCACGGTCTCGGCCCAAATCAGTTGTATTTCTATATACTAATGATGAACAATGCAAAATGGAAATTATAAAAACAATTGTATTTACAATAACATCAAAAAGAATGAAATACTTCAGAATTAACTTAACCAAGGAGGTGAAGACTTGAAAACTACAAAACAATGCTGAAAAAACTTAAAGATATTTTAAAAATGGAAATACATCCCATGTTCATGGACTGAAAGACTTCATGTTGTTAAAATGTCAATACCACCTAAAGTAATCTATAGATTCAGTGCAATCCATCTCAAAGTCACAATATTTTGTTTTTCCAGAGACAGAAAGGCCCATTCTAAAATTCGTATAGAGTCTCAAAAGACCCTGAACAGCCAAAACAATCCTGAAAAAGAACAAAGCCAGAGAACTCACACTTCCTGCTTTCAAAACTCACTACATAGCTACAGTAATCAAAACAGTGCAGCACCAGCATAAAGGCAGACATCTATCTAAACCAATGGAATAGAAAAGAGAGCCCAGAAATAAACCCTTGCATTTAGGGTCAAATGATTTTTGACAAGGGTACCATTTCAATGAAAAAAGGATAGTCTTTTCAACAAATGGTGCTGGAAAAACTGGATATCCACACACAGAAAAATAAAGGCAGACCTTTACCCTAACACCATATACAAAAATTAACTCGAAATAGATCAGACCTAAATGTAAGACCTAAAACTATAAAACTCTTAGAGGAAAACACAGGGCAAAAGCTTCACAACACAGGATTTGGCAATGACTTCTTGTATATGACACTAAAGGCACAGGCAACAAAAGAAAAAATAGACAAACTGGACTTCATAAAAATGTTTTTAATTTTACATCAGAAGACACTATAAACAGAGTAAAAGAGGCAATCCACAAAATGGGAGAAAATATTTGCAAATCATATATATGATAAGGGATTATATCCAGAATATATCGAGAACTACTAAAACTCAACAACAACAAAAAACCCAATTGAAAAACAGGCAAAGGACTTAGACATTTTTCCAAAGATATACAAATGATGAATACGCACAAGAAGATGCTCAACATCCCAATCACTACAGAAAAACAAATCAAAACTACCTCACACCCATTAGGATGGCTACTTTCGAAAACAAAAACAAAAAAAGAAACAAAAAATAACGTGTTGGTGAGGATGTGGAGAAACTGAAACCACTGTGCCCTGCTGGTGGAAATGTAAAATGATGCAGCTGCTATGGAAAACTGTGTGATGATTCCTCAAAATATTAAAAGTAGAATTATCATGTAATCCAGCAATTTCACTTCTAGATATACAGCCAGAAGAATTAAAAGCAGGGTGTCAAAGAAATATTTATACACCCATGCTCATGGCAGATTACTTACAACAGCTAAAATGTGAAAGCAACCCAAGTTAACTCAAAGCTAATCAAGTGTCTGCTGATGGATGTACTATACTATACCACAGAAACGTGGAACTAAGTATCAGAAAAAACAGCTAAAATAATGATGGTTGTTGCCTCTAGGAAGTGAGACTGAAGGGTGGGTAGTGGAATGGGGTAAAAGACTACTGTTTTTCTTTTAAATGTATAGCCTTGAAAACAAAGGAAATTCTGACATAAGTTACAACATAGAAGAACCTTGAGAACATTACACCAAGTGAAATAAGCCAGTCACAAAACCATAAATACTACATGATTCCACTTATATGAGGTACTTAGAGAAGTCAAATTCATAGACACAGAAAGTAGAATGGGGATTACCAGGGGACAGGGGGAGGGGGAATGGGGAGTCACAGTTTGATGGGTAAAGAGTTTCTGTCTCAAAAGATGAAGAGTTGTAGAGATGGATGGTGGTGATGGCTGCACAACACAATGAATGTATTTAATACCACTGAACCATATGCTTAAGAATGGCCAAGATGGTAGATTTTATGTCATGTGTGTTTTACTACAATAAAAAAATTGAAGGAAAAGAACACTTGAATGATGTGAAATAAGTTTTAAATTGGATTTTAGTCATGGTTGCTCAATTTTTTTTATATTCACATTTAAACATTTGGCATTAATGCCTCAATTTTGTAATATTAATAGCAAATCATTAGTCAATAGATTAAGGCCTCTTGCTTTATTTACTCTCTTGTCCAGAAGAAACTTACCTAAACTTGTGGGCTTGATGAGAACATCAAGGACGTCATAAAAGGGCAGGTTTTTTAACTGCACATCAGGATGGACAGGAGGAATTGGGGGAGATGGCTGCTGCATCTCAAATGTGGGCTTAGTATCCTGAAGCAGCACAGAACCAACAGGAGAGGACGGTGAGTGAGGTGTAATTGAAGTGGAAGGCAACGAGTGGATTCCAGCCACAGCCAAGTCAGGCTCTACTGGTGATGAGCCACCATCCAGACTGAAAACTGATGATTTGATTGCAGACAAGTCAGAAAGGCCTTCCAGAGTCCGTGGATATCGGCGTCTATACAATTCTCGGATTTTAATCTGAACCGCAGGGCTGCAGCCGCTCTTCAATAAATGCAGTGCCCTCATCAGGAGGTCATGCTTGCGTCCACTTTTATTCCGTCCAGCAAAGCCTAGTAACACTTGCAGTTCAGAAACCCTAAAACTAGAAACCATATTCTAAAAGGAAAGGAAAAAAAACATATAAGCCAATAGTTACCACCCTCCAGCATATAAAAATCCTCGCTAAAATATTTAGCAAAAAATCTGATTTTTCCACCACATCAACTGGCATGTGGTAGTAACCAGCATTTTCACATACCACTTAGAACTGTTACTATTCATAAGGTCATTCCCCCATAAAAACTACATTCAAGTTATGGTGTTAATTATATTTTGCTGCAGTCATAATTTTGGTGATCTATAGTATATTGGTTTCTATTAACCACTTCATTATCTGATTATCTACCCATAATTGTTTCATGACTATAAAATCTATAACCAATGAAAATGTTCCTTTTTAAAACTATGCCCTGTCAATACACAACATGTTTATTACAAAATTATCAATTAACCAAACAAAAAATTAGATTTTTACATCATTATATGCATAACTTCTGATGCTGAGGAGTAAATCTACAAAATCAAAACAGAACTGTGATCCAAAATCCAATGAATATATGACCCCAACTCAAACATGAAAGAACACACAACATAACAAGAAAATAAAGATGTTTTAAAATATTAAAGGTAAAAAACCAGGTACATCTTATCTAGCTATTGGTCAAACTCCTAAAATGACTTAAATTCTCCGTGGGTATCCAAATGAGAAGACCTTTGAAGAGCAAGGAAACAGGTAGTCATAAATCTTAATAGGCAAGATTCCCTCCACATCTCTCTTCTGACTTGCTCTTGGGTGTAAAATGAAGGTTATAAGCAGTTCTTGCTTCACATGTTATCTTCTGTTTACTTAACAAAACCTAATAAAGTCTTTTAACCCCTTGCTGCCTCATGAATCCACCTATTTAGTGATTTTCAGTCACTTCTGAACTCTAAAACACACTTGGGTCAAATTTACCCAAGCCACATGTGCATCATCTAGCAAAACAGAGAAGGAAGACCTGGAGCTCACCAAAGCCTTTCAGAAACAACCCTCAGGAAACCTACTCTCAGGAGACCATCCTGTTATTCTGGCTTGGGGTTTCCACATCCTTCCTCCTCAGTGCTGCACACTCCACAGGCTCCTGGGATTCCTCTTCAACCTGCTCTTCACATTAGTGTAGTGGCAATGCAGGTAGTGCCTATAGCTGGCACTGAGCCATAAGTCTGCACAGTGATAGCCCAGAAGCAATTGTTTAAAACCCTGTATACTAGCTGGCCTGTTAGCTCAGTTGGTTAGAGTGTGGTTCTGATAACACCAAGGTCCAGGGTTCAATCCCTATACTGGCCAGCAGCAAAAAAGAAAAAGAAAACAGAAAGGAAACACTACCTTTAACAGCTGTTGGGAATACTTGCTAGTTTCTAAAATACTAACAAATTTAAATAAGTAATCTGTAAATGCTGGATCATAATTTTCTTGTACCCTATGTCTTTGTATTTCATACTGTACAAGTCAGAGAATATTAAATTGGTAATCTTAGCACTCATTTTATACTCTATCAGTGCTGTCCAACAGAAATATAATAAAAGCCACATATGTAATTCTAAATTTTTTCATAGTAACATTAACTTAATAAATTTAAATTAATTTTAATAATATATTTAAACTAATAGATAAAAAGCACTGTCATTTCAACATGGATTTTGTGATTTAAAAACAATCAATTTAAAAAAATAAAAATAAAAATAATCAATTTTTTTTAAGTGTCAATGAGATATTTTTTCATAATAAGTCTTCAAAATCTGGTGTGTACTCACAACACAACTCAATTTGGACTAACCAGATTTCAGGTGCTTAAGAACCACTTGTAGTCAGTAGCTGTAATACTGGACAGTACAGCTCTAAATCATACTCTAATAGCAATATATGTCACAATGCCATGGCCATAATATTTTAACTCACATCATTTCCTCCAAATGCAAGATGAAGATTTTATTTATGTCCCTATACTGTGGGCAACAGAGATGAAAAACAAGAAAATTTCTGGCCTATCTAATGATACACCAGCTTACTCATGTTTTCATATATTAAAAAGTATGACAACACAGCTTTTTAGGAAGTGTTTTTCCAAGTAAAAAATGTGATGAACCTTTCCTGAAGTTATCTATCTTAATAAATATTTTAATTGAGTGTAGAACACTAATGCCAAGAAAGGCAGTCACACAGACACAAGATATGTTATTCTTTCTAAAGAGGGACAGCTAACTCAAAATTCATTACTTTGCTTCACTCCTTACACTTATTTTCAGATATTCTTCATTTGAACTTGTTTTACAGAAATGACAAAATACAGCAAGAAGTCACCATGCCTAAGCTTGGCTCTCAAAAAGGAATTTTTGGCTTATTTCACTTAACATAATTTTCTCTAAGTTCATCCATGTTCCAGGCACAGAAAGAGAAATACCACATGTCCTCACTCATAAGTTGAAGCTAAAAGGAAGGAAGGAAGGAAGAAAAGGATGGATAGAAAGATGGAAGGATAGAAGAATGGGAGGAACGTAGGAAGGACAATCACAATAATACGTTGAACTTTCAAAAGAAGAGAATGGAACTGAGGTTGGGTAGGGAGGTGTTAGCAAGAAACTGGTGAAGGTTGTGAAAAATGATTACATTGTATAATGTTGAAGATACTAAGTATCCTGGTTTTTTTTTTTTTTTTTTTTTTTTTTTCTTTTTCCGTGTCCGGCAACGGATCGCAACCCTCAGTGTCGCCCCCGCACCGGACCGGGACTGGCAACGGGACCGGGACCGGCAACGGGACCGCAACCCTCGGTGTTGCCCCCGCGCCTCGCTCAGCCAGTGAGCGGGAACCGGTCTGTATGTGGGATCCGAACCCTCGGGCGGGAGCGCCGCCGCGCTTCCCAAGCGGCACACTATCCAGTGCGCCACCGGGCCGGCCCCTAAGTATCCTGGCTTGAGCACCACATATTGCACACATGTACAGATATTCAACTCTGCACCCCACAGATACATACAATTATGTTTCGATTAAAAAAAAAGCGGGGGGGGGGAACTTCTGGGAGGTCTCATATCACATATTTACAGTGGTAACATTATTTGGCAAAGAATGCTAATGTAATTTGTTCTACTGGCAGTTGTAAATATACAAACAAAAAAGAAGAATCGCTGGACTGTGAACAACAGATGGGACAGTCTATGCATTGCAAAATGTTGCAAAGATAAAAGTACTGCCAGACACACAGCCAAATGGCTTTGAGAATCCACAGGGACCTGTGCAAAACTTCACCCCACAATCAATAGTCGTAGGTCAAGCCCTGGCAGCAAGACTTAAGACCTGGGAAAGTCACTTCATTGCTTTGGTCATCAATTTCTACTTAAAAACAGTAACAACAAAAAAATCTTTCCCCTTTATTTAGCACTTACTGTTAAGATAATCTCTAAGGAGCTTACTAAGTAAAATTCAATGAATGTGTTTTCCTGAAAACCTTGCTGGATCCCATTTCTTCTTAAAGTGATAACACTTTTTTCAACATAGTCTTCAACCAAGTTTCAGGTCCTTTCCCCAGTGTGGGTATGATGAATAGGAAAGGACATCAGAACCCTCACTGGGTAAGGTTAGCCTGCTATGAATACTATCGAGAATGGTTTTCAGCTGTCTTTCTCCATCAACCTCTGACATCTATATCTTCAGTCAAATTTTTTTCAAGCAGATTTTTTTCACTCCACCCTGCAGCCTCCCAAAGGCTCCCAAAGTCTGCCCTCCAATACTTCAATTAATTGCTATGTACTGTACACAGAGGAATCATTGTATACCGAAATATGCTGGCATGATTAATTTTTTAATATACGCAATCTGATTTCTAAAGAAAAGCCAATAAAAATAAGACTAAGACTTTAAATCAGCATTGTTTCTTTATCAAATTTAAATAAATAAAAACAAAAGTTTTTAGGGCTGGGATGTAACTGTAACATTACATATAAGAATGAAGGCAAGCTGAAGGTGCTACATTTAGAAAACACTTCATCAAAAGGGTAAATAGGATAGTTACATGTAACCACCAGTGAAGAAAAATATTTTCCTGAGACTGCTCTTCAACTCTTAAACATGAGATGAAAACTGCAAAAACACCCTGGAATGTGGGGAAGCTCTAGTAGGTTAGATATCATGATGAAGATCAATACAAACTTTGTAGATTTGCCATCTGCTATGATGAGGGGAGAGGAGGAACAGCTGCTGAGGGAAACTGATAAATCACTGTTGGAAACAGGGAGCTGCCCTGAACGCAGGGGTCCCCTAGGGGGCGCAGCTCTCGTCCAGCTACACCCAGCTGACGAAGCTTCATGAGATCAAAGAGAATTGTTTTGAAAATAGCTGGAGATATTTTTGAAGAAGTCTAGACTTCTGACCTTGGAGCATTCCTGAGAACTTGGGAGTGTGTGCTATTCCTGTAAACCCACGCATCCAGCTGCTTATACAGAATTAATAACCCTTTGTTTAGACTTGCACTTAGAAAAGCATATAAAGAGAAATGCCTGTTGAATAAAGCGCAACAGCTCTTCAAGGCTGTTTGTCCTCCTGATCCCATCTTTTGTCTCTTGTCTCTTTTCTAATCCTGCGCTCGTTTTCTCGTCCCGCCATCTCCGGCTGGCTTCCGGGTGGTGGCGCCC